GATGGGAGGTGGCTCAGCCTCCAACCCTGCAGATGGGGGGTGGCTCAGCCTCCAACCCTGCGGATGAGGGGTGGCTCAGCCTCTGACAGACAGGAGTGGCTTAGCCTCCAACCCTGTGTGTGTGGGGTGCTCAGTCTCTGACCCTGCAGATGGGGGGTGGCTCTGCCTCTGACCCTATGGATAGGGGGTGGCTTAGCCTCAGACCCTGCAGATGGGGGGTGGCTCAGCCTCTGACCCTGCATTTGGGGGGTGGCTCAGCCTCTGATACCACAGACAGGGGGTGACTCTGAGCAGAGCCCTAACACCCCAAGGCAACCTTGACATCAGCAGTATGTTGCTTCCAAGCCTTTTGCTACTGTTTGCTCATCTTGATCCTCTTTCTTCGTGAGTTATCTCAGGCTGTATATGTCTAGCCAAGGTCTCAGAGACACGTGCAGCACTCTAGGCCTTCTCTGTTTAGAGAGTGTTTGACCTTGGTCTTCCTGTGGTCGTTCCTTTTGGAAATCTGTTTCTCTCCCATCACTCACACTGTCATTGACACGGAGTGCTGTAAACTGTGAAAGATGGGGATGTTTCTCTGATTAAAGCAAAGCTAGAGATGGCCTGAGTACCCACAACATGCAAATTCTCACTCACGTTTCTGTGTCTGCTGACCGCACCTGGGACGCACCAGCTTGTCACAGGGAACAAAACACAGCCCCTCCCTGGCACCGAATCCACACCACCCGTCCTCTCCCCTGCTTGTCCTGAGCCCTGAGTGTCCCGGCTCCTGGCTGGGCATCTGCCCAGTGTCGTCTCTGGGGGCAGGTTTGAGGCCTCTGTCTGAGGCAGCCCTTCTGTCACCCTGTCTGTGTGAGTGACCAGCTTGGTTCTTATTTGGGGAGTCAGGCTGCTGTGTACCCCTGGGGGTGTGTGGGCACGATCCCAGCAGTGCAGGTACACATGTCCCCTCAGGAGGTGCTGGCTAGCGGCTGAGCGGCTCCTCCAGGCAGCCTGTTGCAGAGGCACTCTCTGCTGAGTTGTCTGGTGCAGGCTCTGGCTTCAGAAGTCAGATTGCCATGTGGTGGGCAGCTCGTCCCTGCACAGACAAGCAGAGAAGCTGCCCCAGTGCTGTCCCCTGGGTCTGCCTGGTCCTGCCACGTCATGTACACCTCTGACTGTCTGTCCTCTGCCACCAACACACTTCTTAAAGGGTCCACAATGCTTAACTTTCTTTTTATTACATAAAGCTCCATCATCAGCCACGCTGCACATTTGCATGTGGTCTTCACACGTGTCACAGGAGCATGATGTTTACCGTCTGGTCAGGGTTACTCCTCGTTGTTCAAAGGGACAATAGCACAGTGTGACCTGTCATCTCTTGTGTGGGCACTTGGTGGGAAGATCTTCTCATGCTGAAATCTGAGGCCTTAAATTCTGGCCTGATATTTTTAATGAAAGACTGAATTGGTCATTTACCTGGTGGGAGCAAATTGCTCATTGATGTGTCAGAAGGTGAAATGATGCCTTTGTCTGCTTTGAGATTCTGACGTGCCAGGTGAAGGCTGGGCACATGTGCCAGGTGCCGGTGGGCAGAGCCCAGACACTGCTTGCCTGCTGGAAGGAGAGGGGGGTGGTTAGGCTGTCACTGCAGAGATATGAATGCCTCACCCACAGCCCCCCAAAACCAGGCCTCGCAGGCATCCAAGCCACGTCGCGCAAGCCCTGCAGAGTTCAGCTTGTTCTGTAAGGCGGGTGGTTGGGAGCGTGCTGCCCGTGACCGCTTCACCACTTTAATTATCCTTATTAGGAAAAAACAAGTAGGTCTTAAAATAACTGTGGGATAGAAGCTGTTCTTGATGGAAGAAATCTTACTTCCAAAATAACAGCAACAGTCAGGCGGGCAGACTCTACAAGTAACATATGGGCTGATACAGCTTAAGAGGCACAGTTTTCATTCAAAGCTGCTTTCCTACCTTTTGTCCAACAAGGGTCCTCTGTTTTCCATGTGAAGCGGATAATCTCACACATGATCCACTGCGGGGGGTGGGGCTGACGGCTACCAAGTATTTATTCTAGTCAGGCGTGGGGGAGTTAGCAGGTTTTCAGCTCAGCCCCACTCATGGCAAAAGACCATTTGTTCCTGGGAGGCCAACATGTTACCATGTGGAAAAAGAGACCCCGACCCTGCAGACAGGGTTCCACATTGAGATCTGGGCCATGGTTCTGACCTTTAAAGATTCATATCTTGGTCTGTGGGTTTCCTGGTAAGACTGTCATATCTTCTTGAAAAACGTCTGAAGCTCATGCGGTAGAAACTCTGGACGAAGGCATCAAAGCACACCTCCTCCTGCGCAGACCCCATGCTGTCCACCTGGCATCCTGACCCCCTGTGGGTCAGGGCACACCTCCTCCTGTGCAGACCCCATGCGGTCCACCTGGCATCCTGACCCCCTGTAAGTCAGAGCACACCTCCTCCTGCTCAGACCCCATGCTGTCCGCCTGGCATCCTGACCCTCTGTGGGTCAGAGCACACCTCCTCCTGCGCAGACCCCATGCTGTCC